ATAACACACTATATATACAAATTATATCTACGAGCACTCATAAATGCACTGGTCAAAATAGCCACATGCTCGTCTCTAACTCAGTAAACTATTTAAATTCATAGCACATATACCTGTTGAACTGGCATGATCAGATCTGTTGGTGCAATCCATCGTGTTGATTGTAGTGGGCACAGAGGTGTCGGAATGCCGAGTACTTAGGTCGTCAGGTTACTTAGGTCGCGCTTCGGCACAAATGCAGGCTCAGCCGTGCGGCCGAACTCTGATTTCAAGCTCAGAAGGACATGCCGATGCGTCGGCAGGAGATGATTCATGTACGGAATCCAGACAGAATCGGGAGTTGTAGCGGGGGATTCAAAGTTGAAAGGTGGATTATGGTCATGTAGCGACAGGAGAATCGACACATAATCCGTACATAATCCGACGCAGAATCAGTGCATAATCGCCAACTTTGAGGCCCCCTAGTGTAGCGGCTCCAGAGCCGCTACACTCGATTCGACCATAATCCGCGACCATAATCGACTTTCGAATCCACTCCATAATCTATCCCATAATCGCCAACTTTGAGACCCCCTATTGTCTGGCTCGTTGAACACAAGAATTTCGCTCTCGTCGTACTGCCAAACAAGACTCCATTCCTCTGACATCCTCATTTCACGCTTGAAAGCATAGTTCTATCTTGCTCAACGATCCTGTGTATCACTTAACCAGGGGAAGGCAAAGACAAGACGGGCAGCAGGCCTGCGACTTAGCATCCTCTTGCAACAAACGATCGAGAACAGTGTCTTGCTCTCGTCAGAAATTATTGAAGATGGCTTCGACCCAGTGGGTATCTTTCAGACCCAATCTCGTGTAGAGTCTGACATGTTAATCTCCCGGTAGTCCAAAGGCATCGCCGACCATCACGGCATCGCGTCATTTGACTGGCTATCGACAACAACAGAAACTGATAGATGAGGAAATTGAATCGCTTCTCGAACGTGTTCGCTTGCTACGTGAGCGCCGCGATCAAATAACACCCGTCTCGTGCCTCCCTCCTGAGGTGTTGTCCCGCATCTTCCATTTATTCGTGCGCAACTCCGCGTATACTCACTCCAACAAGTTTCCTACCGGTTATATGTTCGCATATGTTTGCCGGATTTGGCGCGGGTTAGCTCTCAACACTGCTGCCATCTGGACCATAGTTCCCCGCGATACTCTGGAGCTTACCGAATTGTTCTTATCGCGATCGAAGGAGGCACCATTGACGTTCTCAACATCGGATGACGGCTTCACATTTGTGAACGACCCAGAGGATAAACACCCTACCGTTGGCGCCGTGACGGCCGCTTTGGGCCAGCTCGGTCGCATCCGAAGGCTTGATCTACACGAGTATTCAGGTGTCATCGCACAGAATGCCGGACATCTCTCTCTTCCAGCACCTGCCCTCGTTCATTGCTCCGTAGCCCTGAGGAGTTGGAGCGAGAAGGGGACTGCCGGATCACTTCTTGGGCCGACATGCACCTCGGCTCCGTACATTGTCAATCCGGAATTTGTCCTTCAAATGGGATATGATATTCTGCACTTCAATCGTACATGGCCTGATAGACCTCAAGCTTCGAAACATACCTGGAGGTCATTTTCCCAGCACAGAGCAACTGGTTGCCGCCCTCAGATGCATGCCTAATCTATGTACCTTGGCGGTGACTATAGAATGGTCTACGAATGCTCTATCTGCAAGGCCCGAAGAGGTACCTGGGGATATTGTGAAGCTGGATCGATTGTCCATCTTGAACCTGTCTACTTTCGCATCGCGAACCTCCCAACTGCTGCGCTACCTCAAGGTCCCTCCCGACACGTCGCTTGAGGTTGAATTCCTTTTCGAGCAAACGCCATGCGACTTCTCTTCATTGATAGGCATGCTTGCAAACCACTGCACGTTTCGAACTGACGCACGTCCAGTGCGGCGTCTGGTACTCAAGCCGAGCATGGAGGACACGGCATACTACAAGCTTGAGGTATACTCGGCCGATTCAAGCAAGACGCCTCCCCTTTGCCTCTCCATTCCTCATGAATGGACACATGCAATCATAGACATCATCTCAGTCATCCGCATCAACAGCCTCGGATGTTTGGAACTAGAGCTATCGAGCTCCGAAGACCCCGACCGGGATGTACTCGTGGCTCATCTACTTACCCGCGGAGAACGCGCAAGAAAACTTGTCCTGAGAACTGTCGAAACCTTCAGGGTAATCATCCCCCTTCTCCTTCCAACGTTACCCATGCTGCTCCCTGCGATGCGGCGCATTCATCTCGACATCGCTTACGGCACTCCAACTGACGAGGACATCGACTCCTGGCACAATCTGCTTCGTCAGAGGTACGAAGCAACAGGGATCATGTTGGACTTCTCATGTGCTGATGAGCTCGAGGAGGATGTGATTGACAGTCTTAGCGGTATCGCCGGTCTGGATCATGTACTGATAACAGATTCAATGGGATATGATTCGGACGACTCAGATCTGTACTAGTTATTCAGCTCAGTACATTTAGTCCATTGAATTGGCGGTCACCGGCGGTGGACGGAAAAGAGATTCGGATGTCCAGAGTTCAGAGGTACTTCGGTCTTGCGCCAATCTGCTGTTCTGAGTTACGGTACAATTTCGCGTCTGCCTATAGTTCCTCGTAGGGTCGTGAAGCTGGTTCACTTGTCAGCTTCTGCGCTACGTGGTCCGGATACTCTCATCGACGACGATACGGAAGTGATGACATTGCGGCGGGCCGATAGACTCGCACCCCAACAGGAACATATAGGCAGAAACTCAGGGAAGTCGCGGGTGAAGTTGGTATGGTATTGGGCAACGTCTTGCCATTCTTTTCCGTCCGGAAGATTCATCTTCGTCTCTCTCGTCCTTCTCCTCGTAACCTGCCCGTTACTCAGAATTGGCCGTGCCGCGATTCGAGCATCACCTGCTTTGCCGGCCAAAACGAATCACAAATTTGCGCATGCAAAGCCGACTGTTCGATATGCGCACAGGATAGCTAACATGTTCCTAAATCCTGACGACAGTCGAACCAGCTTGCAGTCTGCGATGATGACACGCATATTGATCCTGGCCACGACCTGTCTGAGTTACGAAGTGGAATGGATGTAGCTAAAAACAACAATACGCTGATTGTCTCAGTGTCACGGAGCCTCTTCATGAGCCTCTCCAGCACCATTCTTCCTGCCTGGCCCTGGAGGCGGTGCACTAAGCTGCACATCGGACTTGGAACTCCACGAAGGCAACCGCCAACTGCTTCCGCTCGTAGACGTGACGCCTAAGCGTTGATGTTGTTCCTTTGGGGACAGCTTCGGCAGCTGCGGCGTGGACTGCGTCGGGGAGAGCTTTGCCGTCGTAGGTGAACCCGGTACGGACAACGAGAAGCTCGAACGTGAAGGGGTCCTGATCGCCGACGGCGAGGTATCGCCCGTCGCAGAGTTAGCTTCTGTCAGAAGGAACTCGACCCAAAGCTTGGAGAAGGACTAGAGATTATGTTCAGCAAGACGGGTTTTCCTTGAGAGGACGAGCACTCGAACTCACCTCCGTGACGTCGGTCTTGTCCAGATCACCTTTGCTCGGAGTCTGGCCGCTGGCGGTGCGTTGCCCTATAGGAGGTGGTGGTCCAGCAGAGCCCGTCCGCTGCAATCCAGCTCTTTCCCTCTCGGCGTCATTCCAAGACAGGATCGTCGCTAGCAATGACAGCATCTCGTAGCGCTTGCTATCTCCGCGGGGTGTCGTGATGTATTGCAGGACGATATTCGTGACTAGCCGACGATCGACGTTCGTCTCGGATGAAGTTTTGCGCAGTCGACGGAGAGCTTCAAGCAGATGTTCATTGATGATGACGGCTATATTGAACAAAGGTCAGATAGGGTCTGAGATGTTGGTAAACGAATGGAGTACCTTCATGCCGCAACTTCTCAGTGAGGACTTCCTTCTCCTTGAGCTTCCTCTGGAGGTCCTGAACGAGACTGGTGTCTGTCGATGTCTCTTCAATTCGCATCTAGCATATAGTCCAAGTGTCAAGACATGGCCACAAGAATGAAACACCAATCGGATACCAACCTCGGCAGTGTGTGCACGATGTTTATATTCTGCCAATGATTGCGTGACTTGAACGAGCCGAGATTCCAAATCTGCCACAGCCGTCCGGATTTCGCGATCTTTCGCTGAGAGAAGAAACATATCAAGAATGTAGAATCATTGGGCGCGCTGTACACTCACCAGATTGAAAGTCTTCTAGCACGGATTGCAGATTCGCGGCCTTCTCCCTTTCGCGCGCAAGCTCCTCCGCCTCCCTGTTGTGCGCCTCCCGCTCCATCTCCCATTCCTTCCTGAACGCGTCCAGATCTGCCCTCGCTTCCTCCTCCCTCAATCGTCCCTGCGCCGCTTCCCTCTCCCATTCCTCCCTCTCCATCCTCACTCGCTCCAGTTCCGCCTGGGTCTCCCTCAGTTCGCGTTCCCGGGAAAGCGTCTCCTGCGCGCTCTCCTGCAGCGCCTGGCTTCGTATACGGTCCAATTCGCGAGCATGCCGTTCCGATTCCTCGTTCGCGGATATGAGTTCGGATTTGAGGGTTTCGACTGTCGCAGCCAGGTCCTCGTTCTCGGCATTCAACTGCTGGAGGAGCTGTTCCCTTCTGTCGAGCTCTTCCTATGCGCACCCCTGTCAGCATAGTAAACAACATCAACGGATTTGTCACCAGCCATCGACGGGTAGAAAAGCCTCGAAAGTGCGATGATTTCAGACAAGTGGTCGACATCCGAGCGGGAAACACAGGGTGAAAAGGAGGAGGAACATATACGTACAGCATCCTGTTTGATCTTGGTGCCTAACGTAGTCCGCATTTGATTCAACTTTGTGAGCAGACCCTGATATTTGGTGTCCAGCTCATCCTTCTCTTCTCTGACTCGAGCTAACTCCTGACGCAGCTCTTCTTCATTCTGAGATTCCTTCCCGCCGCCATTGGCATTGTCGCCCTCTAATCCGGTGCCAGCGGGCGATGGTATAATGCGGCCTGAATTACTGTCGAAGGAACGCCGCGAGCTCTCCGTCGATTCGCGAGAGTGTGCTGGAGATTCGCCGGTACGCGATTTCACGCCATTACTTGCCATTTCAGCGAAGGTACATGAGGATGAGTTGCAAGCTATACGATGGTAGTAGTAGACGGCGGTTATTAGCGGGAGTGGGCTTGACGGCGGGGAAGCGAAGCCGGCGCAGCCGCGCCACGAACACAGGCAGGGGAACACGGTTGAACGCCGGTCGATTGTTTTGATACAACCTAACACCGGTACTGACCGAAACCTCCATAGGTGTGAATAGCATCCACAGGAATATCTCATGATGATACAAAATCAATACGAAGTTGCGCATTTGAGTCATCCTCGTATTTATAGCAAAGTACTCGGAGAACTGGTCAAATCCCAAGGTGAATGTAAGGTGCCCACCGACTGGGCTCAGGGTGAGCTCGGCGCAAGGTGCCCACCGCCGCGTCGAGAGCGTACGCGATATCGTCCGGGTCAAAATGTTCTGCGTCACCATGGAATATGTCCCGATATATTGACTCGGCCATCATCGGCCCGTCGACGTCCTCCATCGACCTGCGAGATTATAGGTGTAAGAAGCCAGACATGAGGACTCCGCCTGAATTCGACTTGCTTCATTCGTAGCACAAGAGCTCACCATAACGTAGCAATCACGCTTTTGAAGCCGGCGAAAAGCATGGTCGCCGCGAGATGAACAGTTTGATCGGGTTGGTCCTAAGACAACAACTGTCAGGGCTCGCGTCGGCATATTGAAGAACGAGCTGACCTTATCCCCCTTAGCAGTTTCGCAAGCGCTCAGGAAGGCCATGAATGCATTTGGCAGTGGGGTGGGCACCAGCTTCTCGATGGTGAGCATTTCGTCTCGCATGACGAACCCGCTTTTGAGGGGATTCTCCGGGTCTTGGTAGCCATGGCAGGCGAGGTGCAGGATAGTTGCTTGTGGCAACTTGTCGATGAGCAACTGCATCGTGAGCTCGCTGTCGTCTTCGCTTGACTTGTTAGCTGGAGATGTAAGCGAGATCGCAGCTCCTTTAGGTAGTGACGCGCGGACGGCGCTACTTTCGTCGCTGGCCCCGGGGAGGTCTGCCCACATCGGCAATTCCGAGCGTGGAACCGCTACGATGAGTGCCCGGGCATCCTGCTTCGCGACTGGCGTATACGAGGATCTTGCAGTAAGAAGTGCGCCCAGAGTTGGGGTATAGGATGAAACAACGTAGTCCGAAGACCATGTGCCTTCGGCTCCCGCAGCATGGATTGGGAGATGGACGAAAGGCCCCGTAGGACACCACCATATGCGAGGTCGGACTCGACCGATGCATGGCTGCAGAATGTGAGCTGTGAAATCAAAGCAGTCGATCGGGAAGGGATCGTACCTGGAGGCCCAATGTTTCCAGCACTGGATGGACAACATCTATCCACAAGCGACGAAGGACTTCTTCTGCGTTGTTGTACCGCGGCCTGGAAGCGGTCGATACTTTTGAGACCTTCAGACGGACCCCCATGTTCGATCGTGCTTCCTTCACCTTTTCTATCCACACAGCCCCGGCTTCGACAAGCCAGACGTCGGTGATGCCCAGGGCAATACTGATGACCTCGCCAGAAGGTGTCATGATGACGGCATGGCGTGCAAAAGGACTGGACACCAACACGACTACAGGTCCCCGTTCTGCTGCTTTACAAAGCACCGGGAACTCGTCTGGTAGTAGAACGCGCTCTAAACCGGGCAAAGCGCGAACCTTCTGTAACAATGAATCGAAGTCTTCGCTTTGTTGCCTCCGCCGAGCCGCTTCCGTCTCTATGAGCTTTGCATCCTCGGTATATTGTGAAGCGTCGGTAACATGTTCTAATTGTCGAGCGAGAGACAATAGCTCGTCACGGAGCTCCTTGGGAACGGCGTCAAACGGAGAACGTAGACGAAGGGTGTGCGTCCAGAAAATCGCGCGACCTTGTTCGAGAATCTCCAATGCTGTCTCCGGCCGGGATAATCTGAGTGCAAAAGCTGCGCCTTCGATGGCAATGCTTTGTCCTATGCGGAGAGATTGTAGTCGTGAATGGAGATGGAGACCGAAGAACGGCACGCGCGACAGAAGTCCAGTGGCCTGGACATACGCGCCTAAAAGTCCTGAAGCTGTTGAAAATGAACATTCCGCGGAGAGGATGTCTATGTCGTGCGTCTGAATGATAGTGAGGACACGTGCTACGCCTTGGATTCGTGAGCGCACATCTCGGTGATCATCCGACAAGGCCTCAGTCAAATATCTGGCCGAGAGGAGAAGGTTGTGGTAAGGAGCGAATGGCTCGGCGTAGAGTTCTGCGGCGTCGATCAGATACTGAAATCGTTCGCGACGACCATGCTTGAGGGCGGCCAAACAATCCATCGTGATGTTGAGCGCGCGCACCGCATCATCGGAAACTTTGATCAGGTGAAACCGCGCCAAGTAAGACTTCGACAGAGTATGGGCGCATTCTTGGCCGTCTGTCCTTTGCGCTAATTCGGCGGAAACAGGTTCCAGTATTTCTATAGCCTGATGGATATCTTCAAGGTTATGGAGCTTGCTTCCACGTAAAACGAGGGCTTTTGATAAGCCGTGTAGTATAAGAGGCTTGTTGACACTGTTGGCCGTCAGGACGTTCAGCGTCCTTTTCGATAGGGCTATAGCTTCCTCCACATCTTCCAGTGCCTCGAGTATTTCGAATCGCATGCACAAGTCGCGTATCATGGGCATGGATGTATAGCCATACTCCATGTGTGTGAGAGGAATGGCCATGATCGCACGACGATCCCAGACAAGCGCTTCATCGAGATCAGCGATATCTCCGGCCTCCGTAAAACGAAGCGTGAGCATATCTGCTAGATCACGGGCGGGACGGAATCGTTCTGTGTGGTTTTCGGGAATAGCATCTACAGCTTGACGGCCCAATTGGATAGCCTCCTCAAGGTCCTTTATCTCCCCGTTCCAAGCAAATCGTTCCCGCAACGTGTCCGCTAAGTTGTCCATATAGCCCCAACGATCCGCTGCATCGGGCAGGATGAGCCGCAGGGCTTCACGACGTAGGTGTATACAGTCATCGATGTCACGACCATCAGACAAGGTTATCTGATGGCGGAGAGCGAGGAGATTCCCCACCACATTGAGGGTGATGGATCGAGGATGTCCGTTCGGACGGCCTTCTTCGATCCTGAGAGCGCTTCGTCCAAGGTCAATTGCTTCGTCCACACCCTCGAACGCATCACTCTGGGTACATCTGGTGTACAGCGCCGCGACCAAACTTCGAATAATCTGCCCTCTCTCGATATGCGTGTCTGGGCAGAGTTGCAAGGCCTCCCTAAGAACGGAAATAGCTCCATCGAGGTCATGAAGTTGGCCGAGGGATCCATGCCGCAGCCGGAGGGACGAGCCAAGGCTACGTAGAAGCATCCATTTTTCATATTCTTGGGATGGGAGCACTTCTTCCAACGCCCGACGTTGTAAGTCAGTGGCTTCTTCACGGTATGTTGCGGTACCAGTAGCCACAAAGAGATTCAAAAGAATCTCTGAGAGGATGCGTTGGACCTTGGCTTTCAAGGGGTTTCCGGGCTTGCACAGCGCGAGAGCTTCTCGGCATAGGGATTCAGCAAGGACTCGGTCACTCGCATGGGCGACATGCGGAGCGTTGATGTCCAGAATACGAGCATGAAGTGCCAACACGGTTGGACATGCAATCTGTCCCTTGCGGCACATCGACAGGGCTTCTTTACCGTATCGCGTAGCAAACCCCAGATCACATCGATCATCAGCGTATGAAAATCGCTCGACGAGGGTGTTAGCCAGGTGGATGAGGAGATGATATCGATAGCAGCGTTGATCGGATGATACAGGTAGTTCTTCGTCCGTGGTCGCAGCGTCGATCCGCAGTAGCTCTTTGTAGATTTCGATACACTTCTTCGCGGCCTGGACGTCACTTTGCCGACAGAATTGCTCGTAAAGACTGAGCGCTTCAGCAAACTCGCCAATGGGATCAGACGGGGATGCTGATGAATGAAGCATGACATGAACACTATAGCGGCAGAACAGGCAAAAGGCAACCGTAACTATGGCACACACGCAAATGCGGCGGGGACTACTTTTGAACGGGAAATCCTGGCCCTCATCCTCGTCCGCAGCCACCAAAGGCGCTATGACTCGTTATAAGTGGGTGAGACGAAGTTCTCGCATGACTGGACGTACGGTCAACTAGGAAGGTTCCGCAGCGTTGTTCGTTTTCCTTCATCAAAGTGACGAAGAGCCCATCCTTGAATGTCGGTTAAGCTTTATAGCCCTCTCTATCCCGAGTATCGCCAAGAGGTTGAGGCCATCAAGGATCAGCGAAGCTTCCAGCGCCCACTGCGGCCAAATCCGTTCATAATACCGAATGTTGTTGACTTCTGATATCGAGACGATAGGGCCAAGCGCAGTCTGGTTCGGGAGTAGCCCGTATCGTTTTGCGCAGTGAATGGTCCAAGGTAATGTTGAAATAGGTATGTATCGCTCCATGAATTCGTGAACGGACACCCTAAATGTGGTGCGTATTCATCGCTTCTATCGCGATTGCTGTGCATGTGCCCACGAATAGGACGCGGATAGTGACGGAATTGAATGGGACTGTGAGACTATCCTCTCTATCGGATGGCAGAGGCCGGTATAAATATGCAGTAGCCACGCCCGGACCTTGAGCGAGCAGGGCGCCCATATCTTGCGGGGTCGATTGAAATTCTATGGCAAGTTGCTCAAGTGACTGAGTTGAACGAGAAAGAGGCATGGCCGATGGAGTTGAAGTTCGAAAGCACGTATTAAGGAGATAGTGCATGAACAGCAATGGACGACGCACGCCCGTCCTTGGGAACACGAGTCGCTTCTAAAGATACTGATATCAGACGGTGTTTTGGTGTTGCTCAGGGATGGGTAATGGGGTGTGAACCCATTCTGGATACGGCTATATGATAGATGCGAGAGGAAGAGTCAAGCATAACATAGCATAGGACATACAGTATGGGATACGGGGGCGTTGATGTTCGGTTTGCAGGTACACCAGATTGTTGATTTCGCGCATACAATCCGACCGCGACCTTTTCCATGTTAGCTTTCCGCGCCTACCTTCTATGAGGTAGCGTCGTGTTCCAATCCGCATGGACCGATGCACAGCGTCGAGATGTAGGACATTCTGGGCCAATTTTGCCAGATAATGCGAGATACTAAGCAGTCGGTATTGGCCGAATATCAATAGGAAGCAAGATCATGCACTCGGGTCCTCATCCATGCAACTCAGGAGGAAAAAAAACGCAGCTCAAAGTATTCGTGTGGCTGTGTCTAGTTTATACAGGTCGGTCGTGGTCCGCCGGCGGCAATTTCCAATGACGCTCCAAGTATCTGTTGGGAGCAACCCACCGAATAGTCTACATACGTGGCGGCGTTGCGCTACGCTATTTTACACCAAGAAATATCGCAGATCCGTCCCCAAAGCACCAAGTCTCCCATTTTTAGTTGCTCTCGTCCACCATGTCCGCCCGCACGTCGACGCGATTCGCCTTCTCTTTCTCGTATCGCTCAACATCGTCGGAATAATTGACTGACGCTTTGTCTTCGTACGCGGATTCATCTACCTCGACGAACTCGCGCGAGGCCCCTCTTACGGGGAACAACGCGTTGAGCAGGATGTAGATCACCGCGGATACACCGAAACCGGTGAAGAAGGAGAGCTCGTATATCCTTGTCGCGGCAAGGGGGACGGACCGGCCGGCTAGAGAGCATCGTTTCAATGCTGTGTCGCAGAACACGCAAAGATTACTTACTAGCTCCCGCGAAGCCCACAACGTTGATCACGATGCCTGCGATGTAGGCTGCGTACGCGCTGGCGCCAGAATTTAGTGCCGCCTAACAACTGGTTGAGGTCGAAGACACCGTACCGGAAGTTCACTCCACCGGTGTACCAGTACCAACCGTCCCTGTGCGTGCGATAAAGGTCCGACGTCTTGAAGTGTCCACGGCGAATCACCCAGTAATCGGTAATCTTGAGAAGACACATGCTCAACCTGCGAATTATGCTAGAGAAGGCACTGCTACTACCCACCATTACGCCAGCAATGGAGCTGAGGAATACCGAGTACGCAGAGAGGTACGTCGTGAAGTTGTTCCCGTTCTTGAGGAAGTTCCATGGCAAGATACAGAAGCCGACTATCGCTGCAATGTAGCCTCCACGTCGAATGTTCTGACGCAATTATATGAGTGTACGAAGATCCAGGGAAGGGTCGTCCACGTACAATGAACCTCGGGAAAAGCGCTGTCAAGTCGCAACCTGCGCTAATGCTGTTCGCGGATATATTTGTCCTACAGCGAGAGTTCAGAACAACGAGATAGTCGCCGAGGAGAATGAGCCTCACCCAAGCTGTGCGATAATAAACGCGAAAGCTATGAACCAGACCTGATCACATATTACGTGTCAGCGAGCCATTCCTTCACGAGGTGAAACGACTTTACCCCAAACCGAGTGGCGCCAGACGGATGATCATCCAAGAACATACCCAGCAGGTCGATCGGCGACCACACCGCCTCGCCAAAGATCACGACCGAGCTAGAGCTGACAATGATACCGATGAAGCTGACCAACGAAAAGCCGAGCGGGACCATTATCAGCTGGGGCAGAACTGCCGCTTGCGGGGTCGACGCGCGCGACGCGAAGTCCGGGGCGTTTCTGTCAGGATCCAATCATCGTCAGCGCAACACGACATGACGGAATTGGGGCATCAAGAGCTTACACCACGAGCGTGGCCATGTTACTGACGCAGGACATGATCGAAATGACCATCTCCCAGCCGAGCGCGGAGCCATGTAGCGTGGAGGGCTGGTGGATAATGGGCCCTACGCCGTGCGCTTTCACAATACACCAGATGAAGAAGGTGATCCCGGCGATGGGCGTGATGATGGCCTTCACGGTGAAGAGGTGACGACTAAACACAATAATGATTGAGCATGATTCTCAAGAGCACCACGATGGCAGGCCTGCATACATTTGG